GATTGATTCTTGCTGGCACGCTTGCAATTACAATAATAACCTTCGAAAGCCAAAAAGCCAACAGTATTATATACAATTTCGTATTCAAACGTCATACTTTCATAAAATTAAATTTTAAAATTTTAGGATATGTATTTAAAATAAGATATAGATATAAGGACTTGTTATAGACACTGATATATTACGTATTATATAATATTTTAAACAAGATATGGTAAATTATGTAAAAATATATTATAAATTAAATAAGATTTAGAAAACATATAAAAAAATTTATCTCTCATCAATGAAGATATATATATTTCTTTTCTAACAAATATGAATTTTTTATTATTCAAACATTATGAAAAATTAGAAAATCCAAGTGTACCCCCACTCTTATCATATTGCATAGATACGAAAAAGAAAAAAAAAAGGTAAATTACATTTTAACCCCTTGTGGTTTGTCCAAAAAACACAGAACTCTCCTAAAGTTTCATTTGTAACACTTAAACCCCTAAACTTAATACCAAACTGTAATTTCTGACAGATCCGTTTGTTTAAGCAGAATGTGGATTTTAAGAGCATAAAAGTATAGTGCGACAAAGCGTGAGTTACACTCTTGGATCAAAACACCTCTTCTCTCTCCTTCATTATATAAATATACAACACCATCACCTTCCATGCAAAACCACCACCATCACCTTTTATTTCTTCTCTCATCTCACCACCATTGCCTTCCATGCAAAAATCACAACCAACCAATATCACCACCATCATATTCTATGCAAAACTACTGCCATCACCTTTTATTTATTCTCTCATCTCACTACTATTACCTTCCATACAAAATCACAACCAACCAATATCACCACCATCATATTCCATGTATAACCACCACCATCACCTTTTATTTCTCCTCTCATCTCACCAACATTACCTTCCATGCAAAATCACAACCAACCAACATCACGACCATCATGGAATCAAACCCATTTTTCTCTCTCTAAAAATTATCCAAACCCACTTTTCTCCTTATGATTCAAATTAGTAGCACACCTAACCCATGGAATCAAAACAATTAATATGTGGAAACATTTAGATTTTTGAAATAGCATTGATGAGATTCATACCAACCAAACCCACTTTTATCTTTTCCAAACCACATACACGAACAAGCCCGAAAAGATTAGATTTTCAGATTCAAACGCACCATTTTAAGCCCTTGTATATCTTTTGTCATAACTCTGTTTTGCCTCATTTTTACTTCATTAGATTCACCTCACGGCCTAGTTTTCGTATCACTCCTCATACGCTTCATTCCATTTTCTTTTGCGTTTTGTCGGCGCTCTAAAATATGACCAAAAATAGATTTTTTTTCCCCGTTTGCGACATTATTTTGGCCCATCTTTCGAACTCTATAATTTTCTCGATTCTTAACAAATTTATCCTGTTCTTTCATCAATCTCTTTACCTTTCTTTATACTTCATCCTACGCCACCTCGTTTTCTTACTTCTTCTTAAAATGGGTGGTTTCGGCATGCCGAAAGTTGCCCGAAAACTAACTTCACACATTCCAAAGAAACATTTCTAAATTTATTTTATTGTTTTTCATCATCCATCATCTTCTGCTGCTTCATAGCACTTTGTAAAGGGTGGTTCTTGGTTTTGACGGAGCTGGGCGATGGTGGTCGTGACAGTCCAGCGGTGACGTGGAGCTCGCGGTGATGGTAATCATGGAGCTTGATGGTAGTGGTGATAGAACTTGGTTGTGAAAATGAGGGAATGAGGTGGGTTTAGTGTTGAAAGGTGGTGGTGATGATGGTGCTCACAGTGAGAAAGAAGATATATATACATATATATATATATATATAGTGAGAGAGAGAGAGATACAAAATAATACAAATAAAATGATTGAGTGTAAAATATATAGGGTAATCATGGAGCTTGATGGTAGTGGTGATGGAACTTGGTTGTGAAAATGAGGGAATGCGGTGGGTTTAGTGTTGAAAGGTAGTGGTGATGATGGTGGTCACAGTGAGAGAGAAGATATATATACATATATATATATATATAGTGAGAGAGAGAGAGAGAGATACAAAATAATACAAATAAAATGATTGAGTGTAAAATATATAGGGGCATTTATGACTTTTTATTACTTATGTTACGTTCATTCAAAATTACAGTTTGGTATTAAATTTAGAGATTTAAGTGCTATAAATGAAATTACAGGGGAATTTCGTAATTTTTAGATAAACCGCATGAGCTTAAAATGTAATTTATTCCAAAAAAATAAAAAATAAAAAAATTAAAGGGTAAATAGATTTTTTTTTCCCCGTTTGCGATATTTTTTGGCCCATCTTTCCGACACTATAATTTTCTCGATTCTTAACAAATTTATCCCGTTCTTTCATCAATCTCTTCACCTTTCTTTATACTTCATCCTACGCCACCTCGTTTTCTTACTTCTTCCTAAAATAGGTGGTTTCGGCATGCCGAAAGTTGTCCAAAAACTAACTTCACACATTCCAAAGAAACATTTCTAAATTTATTTCATTCTTTTTCATCATCCATCATCTTCTGCTGCTTCATAGCACTTTGTAAAAGGTGGTTCTTGGTTTTGACGGAGCTGGGCGATAGTGGTCGTGACAGTCCAGCGGTGACATGGAGCTCGCAGTGATGGTAATCGTGGAGCTTGATGGTAGTGGTGATAGAACTTGGTTGTGAAAATGAGTGAATGAGGTGGGTTTAGTGTTGAAAGGTGGTGGTGATGATGGTGGTCACGGTAAGAGAGAATATATATATAGTGAGAGAGAGAGGGAGAGAGAGAGATACAAAATAATACAAATAAAATGATTGAGTGTAAAATATATAGAGGCATTTATGACTTTCTATTACTTATGTTACGTTCATTCAAAATTATAATTTGGTATTAAATTTAGAGATTTAAGTACTATAAATGAAATTATAGGAAAATTTTGTATTTGTTAGATAAATCGCATGAGCTTAAAATGTAATTTATTTCAAAAAAATAAAAAATAAAAAAATTAAAGAGTTCATAACATAGCATGTGTCTCACGTTCTGTCTTCATAGCATAGCATGCGTCTCACGAGTCTCAATTCTGCATCTGTTTTCGTGCAACACTTGAAATTGTTTCCAAACAGCCCCGCATTTTCAAGGTTTAAAGCTTTTCCGTAGTAATTCCTTTCGCAAATTGTTTCCAAACAGCCCTGCATTTTCAAGGTTTAAAGCTTTTCCGTAGTAATTCCTTTCGCAAAGTCGTTTCCAAACACCTCCCATTTACTCTGTCAAATATGTCACCCCCACAAAAAGACCCCGTTTGGATGCTTATAATGGACGACAAAAAATGTATTTTATTACAGAGTATTACGGGCAATGAGATTTATCTTGTCAATACTCACATTATTTCGTTTCTTTTTTAATTTTTTTAATAATTTAGTAATTTTTTAAAAATATTTATAATTTTGTTTAAACATTTCACTAAAGTCAAAAATAATAATAACAATAAGAAACACAAAACATGTCACATTTCCATTTTCTTAACGTTAGTTTTTTTTTTTTTTTCTTTCATAAATATCTTATTTTTGAAGTGCATCTAATAGGAATTAAGGTGATTACTATGCACAGTACAATAATCACGGTTGTCCGACCAATGCACTTCATTTCAATAATTTAAATCATTTACTTTTTAAAATAAATCGAATAAAATATACCTATAAAAATTTTAATTAATTGGACGTCGCGCCTCATTTCAATAATTCAAATCATTCACTTTTTAAAATAAATCGAATAAAATATACCTATAAACATTTTAATTAATTGGACGTCGGTAACTGTGTAAGGGTGATTTCCGTACTATAAAAGGTTGAACTTCGTAAAAAAACAGAGAGAAAATACAAAGAGCATATATATTAAATGTCTGGATTCCCAATCTTTTAAGGGAGAATAGTGTTCGCCTTTTATAGGAGAAGGTTACTTATCCTCCAAGACTTTCTCTTTCTATAATTTGTTCCATTTGTCCTGTTCGTGGTCATCTCTCATTGAAGGATAACGACCACTCCACCTGACACCCGAGTGCAGGTCTGTCTTGTTTATCTCATTAGTGATCGTCTCTCATTGGAAGAGGACGACCACTTCACCTAACACTCATGTGCAAGTTTATCATGTGTGCGCCTTGCCCCTCTGCGTCTTCATGTCTCTACATTCTATTCAGACAGAGTTACGAGCTTTAAGAAATATATTCGATGAATTGGCCTTCTCTAAGTTGGCCCACTTCGAAGTGGTTATCTGCCCAATCAGGAAGTCCAATATGTTTCTCAGCCCACTTTGGAGTGGTTGTCCAATATGTCGCTCGGTTCATTTTGGAGTGGGCCTAGAACTAGGCTACTACCTTGATTGCCTTGCTTTGGAGCAAGTGTTTGATCATTGAGCCGAGCCCTTAGCTCCCCTACTAGTGTGGATCAGGCGTTAGGCTGAACACCAAGACTTAATTAATTTTATCTAATAACCCTTTTATCAACCGCATTTGTATCTAACAAAATTAATAGTAAATGTAATTTAAAATATAAAACTAAATATAAATATAATTTGATGAAAGAGCTATCGATATCATCTCAAATTAATTTTTTACAATTATGTTATACTATTTAAGATATCTTAAAAAATGAATAATTTAAATTATTAAAATGAGTCTCGAAATGAATCCTATAACTATTGTGCTAATACACATTAGCCACCTCAATTCCCATCTAAAAAGTAAAGATAATAATTAAAATACGAAAAAGGTTTACTAAATTTTTAAAAAAAAAAAACGAACAAACAAACAATTTTTAAAAACTAAACCACACACATTTCTAGATTTCATTCACCCAAACGGTACCTTAGTGCAACAATGAGAGCAGTCCTTATCACCGAAACCAAACACCCCAAATTTCGATGAAAACAAAGGGCATCCAACACAAACAAACAAACCCAAAAGCCTATATAAATAGGGAATAAATACTCATCCCTCTCTCTCTATAGCTACATCACACTCTTCGTGCTCTTCGCCCCCATCTCTTTCTCTCTCTCTATTTTCTTCGAACCCATTTCGAAGAACCCTCTCAGATCTCTCTCTACCCTTAGATTCGTCTCTCTTTTCGATCCATCAATGGCTTCTGTCACTGGATCGTCCTTGACCTCTTTCTCATGCTTTTTCAAACAAAACCAGGTAATTTCGATTTATAGTCGCAATCCTTTTTTGGAAATTAGTGCTCATACTTACATGAATTTTGCATGATTTAATGTGTTTGTTGATTGTAATTTGTACCAATATGTATGTATTTTGTTGGATTGGACATTCTTATTTTGATTTATAGTCTCTTCTTACATGGATTTATATGATTGAATGTTTGTTGATTTTAATTTGTATGAATATGTATGTATATTGTTGGTTGGACACTTTTATTTCGATTTATAGTCTATACTCGCAATCGTTCTTCGGAGATTAGTGCACATACTTACATGGATTGCATGATTGAATGTGTTTGTTGATTGTAATTTGTACCAATTTGTATGTATTTTGTTTGATTGAACACCCTTATTTTGATTTATAGTCTCTACTTGCATGGATTTATATGATTTAATGTGTTTTTTTATTGTAATTTGTATGAATATTTATGTATTTTGTTGGGTTGGACGCTTTTATTTCGATTTACAGTCTCTACTCGCAATTGTTCTCCGGAGATTAGTGCTTATACTTACATGGATTTACATGATTGAATGTGTTTTTTTATTGTAAATTGCATGAATATGTATGTATTTTGTTTTTGGATACTCTTATTTCGATAGTCTTTACTCACAATCGTTCTTTGGAAATTAGTGCTCATACTTACATGGATTTACATGGTTGAATGTGTTTGTTAATTGTAATTTCTATGAATATGTATGTGTTTTGTTTTTGGATACTCTTATTTTTATTTATAGTCTCTACTCACAATCGTTCTTCGGAAATTAGTGCTCATACTTACATGGATTTACATGATTGACTGTGTTTGTTGATTGTAATTTGTATGAATATGCATTTTGTTGGATTGGACACTCTTATTTTGATTTATAGTCTCTACTTGAAGTCCTTCTATGGAAATCAGTGTTTGATGCTTACATGAATGCATATGATTATATGTATATGCAAATACAAGCGTTTGTTGATTGTAGGAACGTGAATTTTTTTGTTAGACCTGTTACTGTTGACCTAATCACGTGGTGTACTTGGATTGGTTGCAGATTTGTGCTAGTAATTACATTTTGAAGTTTGTTTTGGTACAGTAGCTGAGGATTGAGTGTGTTGCTAGTTACACTAATTGGCATTCATTTTCCCCCTAAGAAAATGAAATTTGAACGTTGTTGTGTTGATTCAATGTCTTTACATTTTAAGGAAAATTTCACCAAAAAAAAAAATGAAGAAGAAGAAGAAGAAGAAGAAGAAGAAAACTTCAAAATTTGAGCTTGTAACAAAATAAATACTCTTGCTTTTAATTTTATCAATTTAAATTCTAATCTTTTGATTTGTTTTCAATTTAAACCATCCACCTATTTATGTTAAGTAAAACAACTGGAAGAATGATATTTTAGTTATTAAATTTAATGTAAATGTATGGAAAATGTCTAAAATACCATTTTCTATTGAATTTAATGACTAAAATATTTTTTTCCGGGGCAATTTTAATCAAAGAAAATAGGCGGATAGTTTAGATTGAAAACAAATCAAATAATTTGGATTTAAATTGATAAAATTAAATATTTAGGGTTTATTTTGTTGCAAGCCTCAAACCCTGGGGTTCTTTTTGTAATTTTTTCAAATTTTATAAAAATTAAAGAAATAGATTAATTACACCAAGGCCCCTTAACTTCTTGTGGATGTTGTATTATTTAATTTGAAGTTCTTGTTAGGGGTGGGCGTAGGCGGTTGCGGTCAGAGAACCTTCAATCCGCCATCCGTCCGCCAGATTAGCGGATTAGAGAAAATCAATCCGCATTTGTCCGTCAATCTGGCGGATGTGGATTGAGCGGATTGGCAGATGGATGCGAATCGGTTTGGCGGTTTAAAATTTTATAAATTTTTAATATAATTCAACTTGTGCACTTCCTCAAAAAAAAGAAGAAAGTATTGCATTCAATGATTTAAAAAAATATTATAATCACTGCATGCCTCATCCACATACTACAATCATAGCATGCCTCATCCACATAAAGTATTACAATCTGTTATTCTTAAAATATAAAAATAATTCAAACCACCAAAACCATGAACAGAGAAGCAGTAGAGATTGTATGTCTCGGTATTGTTACATCTATATCTGTTTTTGAAAATAAAAACCAACAAGCATATATCATATTTTCTATTTATTATTTTTAGAGATATATTTAAAAACTAAAAAATATAGATAAATAATACGTTTATTTTTTTCAATTCAAAAAAGATATTCACGTTGAAAACTTTTTTTAACAGAATATTTAAACTCTTTTTTTAACTGAAAACACAAACAAAATATTTAAACAAATTGAAAGTACAAAGTCTTATAAATTACTAGGGGTGCTCGCGGTTTGGCGGTTCGGTTGCGGTAAAAAGAATCTCAAATCCGCCATCCGTCTACCAGATTGGCAGATTGGAGAAAATCAATCCGCAACCGTCCGTTTGTTATCACGCATCCGTCCAAAATGGGACGGATCGGTTCGGTTCGGTCGGTTTTGGTGGATCGGTATATCCGCTGCTCACCCTTAGTTCTTGTGATGTTTCACTTCATCTCTAATATGTGGACCTGTACATTCTGACCAACTCAATCATAAAAACTGTACAAATTCTCTTTCTTGAGGGGTGAAAGTGATGCATTTTTATAGTTAGAGGGGTCAAAGGTATGGGTTCGTAGATGAGGGTTAAAATGATATTAGGTAACAATTGAGGATTTTGGTGTAATTATTTAGTATTTTTGAGATTTTGGTAACTATATATTTGCTTAACCATTTGACAGAAACTTTTGTTCCATATCATGTTAAAAAATTAGAATTAATTTATGCTTTATTGTTTGTTGAGTTGTACTCGAATTTTGTTATTGGATTGAGCAGGCACCCACCAGGATCTCTAGTCCGAATTCGGTGTCCCTATCGATTAAAGGGAAAGGCTTTACATCACTTAGGAGCTACCCGGTGCCACATCGCTTTCGGGTTTCATGTGCGGTATGTTTCTTGTATCATGATATTGCATTTTGTAGGTAAAAAAATCTGCCTTCTATGCCTAAATTAACAGCTTGTATCATTCTTTGCATTTCACAGCTCCATTGATACAAAACATCACTGATTGCATCAGTGTTATTTATTTAAAAAAAAAAAATTGATTAGATGTTCAGCCACTGTACTCAGCAAAGGAATTTGATATTACAACATGATTTTTAAAAAAATTATGAAATGATTCATGGCATCTTTATCATTTTTAGTATCTGAAAAATTGTTGTTATGTCGTGAATGGCAGTTAACCTTCATCATCTCGACGTGTTGATAATGCACATTCACTCGAGCGGTGTAGTGGTAGGCAATATCACATCCATCTAGACATTCCATGCAAAGTTAGAGACCTATTTCTTAATTTGGCAATAGTTTGTTTTAGATTGATTTTGTTTTAGATTGATCAAATATATATATATATATATATGTTTACTTCTGTGGGAATGTCGAATTTGTTGTATGTATTGTTTATTTAGCAACATGGTAATATGAGGCAACAAGAACGTGCTTCAGTATACAGTTCATATGTCCTCTGAATTTAGGATGCAACTGGCAATTTTAAATTTGTCAGTCCTGGTACATATATATGCATAGGATGATGTAGCCAGTGAGTGATACAGATGCTGATTTGTTTGAGCAGGCCAAAGTAGAGACTGTAGACAAAGTGTGTGAAATAGTGAGGAAACAACTGGCACTACCTGCTGAGACTGCAGTCACTGGAGACTCAAAGTTCACAACACTTGGGGCTGATTCTCTTGATACGGTATCCAATTTGTAACCATGAACTGTCATTATATTCAACATACTGATATTAAATTTTGTATTGGTAATATCCTACTTATTTATTTTATAATAATTATATATATATATATATATATTAGCTACCTTTGTTCTTCATTTTGCTTGTAATGATGACACGTGCCTGCCTCATGACCCATAAAATTGGCCATGGCTATTTGCTGCCTTTTGTCCCCAATAGTCAGTACTTGTTCGTATCTTTCCTGAGCAGTTAGCTAAAAGATTGAAGGGCAAATTATACCTGTGGTCCCTGTAGTTTGTTTCTTTTGTCAATTTAGTCCAAAACAAAATTAAGACAAGAGGCAAACTGTGGGGATTTTGAGTGTAATATACCCAAGATTCAACTAGTGTTGTAAATTAAAATGTGTAATTCTGTTTCATTAAATAATATTTTATCAAAAAAATTCATTAAATCAGGTTATTAGCTTCAGAACTATTGTTTATTTGCCTGCTTTCTCTCCCTCCACCCCACTCAAACTTTTACAGTAGACAATGTTATTTCTTATGGGTCTTAAATTGCCATCAGCTCCCAATGTAGCCTTTGTACAATTGCTTCTTCCCAGGGAAGACGGCACAAGCGTGTGTGGATTGCATGTACATTATTCTTGGTTTAAAAATGATTTGCATAAACGGTGCATCCTTTCTTTTTCCGTTACAGGTGGAGATTGTGATGGGACTTGAGGAGGAATTTGGGATCAGCGTGGAAGAAGAAAGTGCCCAGAGTATTACCACTGTTCAAGATGCAGCTGATCTGATCGAGAAGCTCATTGAAAAGAAAGGTGCTTAAAAAAAACAAAAGACTCCACCGGACTAATGGTCGTTTGGTAGGGAAGTTGTTTTTTTACTTTGTTTTGCCGATATCTTGGTAACCTTTTACTTCAAAAGCTTCCAGTGTGCTTGTTAGATCGAATTTATCAGGTTTGTGTGTGTCTTGTTTCTCTTTGTTTTGTCAGAAAGCACTTGCATACTGCCCTTTTTTCTTTTTCTGTTTCTTTTTTGTGAGACTTAAAATTAAGTTCATTTAAAAAAATGTATTAGAAATTTAATAAATCTTATTGCATTTTTATTATATGGTGGTTTTGGTTCATAGTCATACACACCACTAAACCATGTTTTTGTTTTTGGATAATCTAATGTTTGGACTAGTTTGCGTGCATCTCAAGTTGCGGGTCAAGTTGAGGTTCTAAAATTAATGATCAAGCAAATTTTTAGTAGTTTTTTGGGGGTGATTTGAAATTGAGGCATTGTTTTATCTTCAAGTCTTTATTATTTGGCCAAAAATAATGTTAAATGCACCAATTAGTAGGAAGAACCTATTTTTTTGCTTTGAATTCTGATGTGTAATTTTGAAAATATCACATCACATCCAAAAGTTTTTTTTATGTATAAATTCCTACTCAAATTTGTAATCCAAAAGATAACTTTAAAAAGAAAAAGTTTTTTATTTAAATCAAATGGGGAAACCTGTAAAATGGTGGATGTAAAGGGTGGCTTTCATAAATCAACTAAAGAGAGAATGTTATAATCAACAATCAACAAAAGAGGCCCCAAAAAAAAGACTGATACAAGAACATCTCCAATCCATATCCAAATGTCCTCAAACTTAAATTTGAATTAAAAAAAAAAAAAAAAAAAGCCTTAAATACTTGACCTAAACTCATACTAAATTGAGAATGATTCAAATTTGACTTAATATGGAAGATTCAAATCTGGACTCAAATGCCTAAATAGGGTTATATTTGTTTCATTTATTTACTAAATTGCCATTTTGAGGATATGATGGGAATTTTCAAAACAAAATTAAAAAAAAGAAAAGAAAAAAGAATCTAAGTAAAAATTGATGTTTGTCATTGAAATGTTCATACAAATGAAGCTTTGATTCAAATTTTTATTCAGATTTGAGTGAAAAATTGAGTCATGATTGATTGAAGATGGTTTCGTCCCTGTTGTCTTAAGATCTGAAGCATTCACAACAGATGGTCTACAAATTATGATTCTTAATAATAATAGTAAAAAAAAAAAAATACAAGGTTATAGACAAACTAATCCTGTGTTTGGCTGGGGGATTTGAAGAGAGATTTGGAAAGAAAAAGGGAAAAGATGTGTGAAACTAGGTGAAATATAGGCATGTTTTATTCACATTTCACCTATTTTTTCCATTTTCCTTTCCAAATCCCTCACTAAATCCTCCAATCAAACACAACATAAAAGGAAGATGACAAACGGAACAGAAATTCAAAGATATAGACAGATTTGGACAATAAAAAGTAAATTTGAGATTAGTTTTTTATCTTATTTCTTAAAAGTACTATTTGAAAACTTGCCCCACATAAGTTGAGCCTTTTTATTCGAGAAAGAGAACCGTTTGCAACACTTCCACACCATTACAATTGTTTGAATGCGTGAACAAATTTGGATTCATATTTTAAGCAATTTTAATTTTTAGAATAAATTATAAATATATCTCTTGAAATTTACGTAAAATATAAATTGCTCATATTATTTAAAAAATTACAAATATCTCATTTTTAGTATTTGTTATTTAATAGAATTAACTGAAAAAATAAAATTTATAATTGCTCTACTATATAATAATACAATTACATTAATTATTAATTAAAATAAATTTATGATATCATAAAGATTATTAATTAAATTGATAATTTATTAATAAAAGAGACAATTTGTTATAAAATATTAACAAATTTCAAAACGACAAAGAAGTAAATTGTACTTTAAACAAAATAAATATTTCATCCACGCAAAAATAGTCACCCGACTGCCTGACTTACGTGGCATAGAAAGGCCCATGTTCCTCTCGGGTAATTATTGTGTACTTCAGATTACGATCACGTGATATTTCAAGATATTATAATTGATGAAAAAGATGAAATATTATAATTTATGCAAAAAAAACTTATACTGTCATCATCCTAAAATTATTTTTCCTATTATTCACTTTTTTTTATATTCTCCCTTCATACTTTGACTCAAACCCATATATCAAATCAAGTTTTTACAAAATTTTCACTCAAATGGAGACCATTTTGCAAGCTCAAATTTCCAATAGTTTTATTTTCTAACATGGAAGGCTCATCATTTAGGGCAAATAACAGAGCACTAGTTGTCCCAAAAAATATATATATAAAAAATAAAAAAAATATTATAAATATTAATAATTAAAATTATAAAAAATTTCATTAATATGTAATAATTTTTAAAATCCACCCTGAATAATAATTTCAACATTTATTTACCAAACAGACTCAAGTCTACCACTCCTAGATGAGAATTTTTAAAAATAATAATAATAAGAGAAAAATTATGAGTTCACCATTTTTTGATCACCAAAATATGAATTTTATCATTGGGTGCTTCAATCATAATTGGAGAATGGACTAAGCATGAATTTTCTAAACTAGGTGTATTACAAGAAAATTCTCAACATATTAAAATTTTCCAGATCACTTCAACACGTAAAACATAACGCAACGTAGTAGGAGAAAACAAATTAGTATTAAATAATCACTTTACTCAAATCTTGATTCAATTTTGAAAAATATTATTCAAATTGAATGAATTAATGATGTTACATGTGTACATAAGTTGTACAAAGACAGGCCAATGAAAGCCAGTATTATGTAAAAAATGAACTCTCTCACCTTAATACAAGGGTTGGGTTGTTGAGGCCTCATCTGAACTAGGGGAAATAAAGAGGTGTTTGCCTTTAGAAAGCCCAAGCCAATGAACCTTTTGTGATTCCTGCAAAAAGGTTATTTGGTTTAAATAAAATAAATAAAATTAAGAGTTAGTTTCACTTTCATCTGTCTAGTCCTTAAAATTTATATTTTTAGCTAATGTGGTCTAATTGGAGACGTTGGTCCAATTTAGTAATTGTTGAAACCAAATTTAATGGACAAAAAGGCCATTTCAAAAATTGAACAATTTAAACCATACAACTGAACATTCAGTTTTTTATTTACTATTTTTAAGAGTTGGATAAGAAGATAGAAGATGGATGTTTGGTTGTGGGGTATAAATTGTCTAATAGTGAGTAAGAAGACGGAGCAGCTGGGTGTTTTGTTTAGGGTATAAATTGTCTAATATAGTGCGAGGAAGAAGAATTGTGTTTGGTTGTATAATTTAAACTCAAATAATTGAAAAAAAATTAGGGACTAAACAGACGAAATAGAAACAAGACAGTAATTTATGGGATTAAAATGAAATTAACCCAAAAATTAAAGATTGTAATTCACCCACCTTTTCTCTTTCCTATTCCAAATCTCTATCCAAATTTATGATCCAAACATAGTCTAAGTGAAAAAAGTAAGACAAACTGAAAAAATACCTCTTAAAGAACTTCAAATGCAACGAGGCAACCTCTGCAACTCCAATGCCACTCTGCAAGCAGCATCAGCAACACCCTTTATGGTTGAGCTTTTGAGCTCAGAAACAATGGCTTCAATTCTTGAAATCTCCGGTATAGATATCGATAATATCATTGCTTGTGACAGATATTGTTGACATGAAAACCCGAGGGCATGAAGCATCCGTTGCACTACTAAGTCAGAGTTTCCCTGACGACATGACTCGAGAATCACACTAACTTTGGGAAGCTTAGTTAGAAAACCCGTGGTAGCTTCCCTTGGAGCTGCCCCGAGCACCAAAACTATGCATTCAGAGGCTATATCCGCAATGTTTGAGCCATGTGACTTGCTCAACTCCAGAAAGACGCCAACATTGCTACCAAAATCCATTATATCTCTTATGCATTGATGTTGATCAACGACACCACTCCCCTCAGAAGAACCATCACCTAAGAGAGTCGGTTCTTTTGCATAGACAAAACCTTTTTTATTGCCTGCTGAGCGTAGAAGGAAAGCCCTGCACAACCCAAGAGTTGGTTCGATAAAATCTTGCATTTCCTTTGCATACACAAACTCCAAAAGGTTTCCGATCCTTCTTGCTACTTTTAGTTGAGAGAGTATCTTGTTTTCCAACTCTGGAGCAGATGCCAAAGCCAGACAGAGCATGACATTGTTTACATTTGCAGATGAGAGATCACCAAGCAGAAATTCAAAGCACTGTGAAACTATCTTCAAATGTAGAATGTCGGGGATTTTGATGTAATTGAACTCAATGAGCATCACTAGAAGCTTCTGAGCGTACATGGGTATGGGATCTTCATCCTCAATCAAGGTGGGGAACAGAGGAAGGAAATGAGTGTTGGATATGGACTTCAAATCGACTGCTCGTTGTTCATCTTCTGACGGTTCATCGAGAAAAATAACCATCACATCAAACATAATTTTCAGGCACAAGAATCGGGCGTCTCCATCTCCGTTTCCCTTGTACACAACAGCTAGACTGGGAAGGATTTCGCGGATAAAAGTGTTAGGGCTCTCAACAATAACTGAGGGCTCCTCCGTGATGGACTCAAGGACTTGTAAAAGTGTTATTTGGAAGTCATCCCTGCCCTGAAATGCACCAAAAACTAATGATTAAATTATTCCCCACATCAACCAAAAAATATAGTTACGTATTCAGATCTTGTGATTAAAGCCGAGCTTAAAATATATCACATCGATATTTTCATATATTTATGACATTCAGAAAGTTTATTATGCAAACCAAACTCTACTTGATCAATTGCATGCTAATTTTTTTCAGAGGACAGACAACCCACACTTTCACCTGGTTACTACAAAGAGTCCTTTGGCCAAAATCCACCATTGCTAATTATAATTTTAATAAGGATTTCCTTCTCTCCTCCTCTCACAAGAAATATGAAATTACCAAATTGAAATTTACAGATTGCATGCGAAGCTAAAACTGAGTTGTAGATGTCAACCTGAAAAGGCAACTCCGCAAGTTTTATTAAATTTGCCAATTGCTGCAGGACGTGATTAGTCACCACCCTACGCTTTATAGAGGAGCTTCCAAGAAGATGATAAACAACAGGAAACAAATGAAAGTTTGTCTTTGGAGTGGCTCGACTGGTAAGAGCAGCAATCTGCCCCGGTCGTCTCCCTCCCATTATCTGATGAATGTCCCCGGTTATAACTTCTAGCAAACCTGGTATAGTCGATGCCACGACATGAACAAATGCATCTAAACACTGTTGCACATAGCTATCCTTTTCCTTTACCAACCTGTCCACTGCTGAGAGTAACCTTGCATTGCAAAAGAAATGTGATAGCCATCGCTTCCCGTTCTTACAAAGTAGAGCCACAAAAGCAAGTGCCTTTCCTTTCAAGACTTCAGTTCCCTGATCGATGAGAGACGTGAGACATGGGACGAGATTCTTCTCTTCCACCAAGGGAAGAAGATGTCGTCCAATGTTTGTGAATATATGTGTCCCAATCATGGCCATATTCAAAAGGTTTAAACAAATTTGCTGCTCACGTGGACTGCCCTTGGTAAGGGCAGATGCAGTGTCCCTTAATGAAAGTTTGTCCATAACTTGTTGAATGCTAGGAGGGTTAAAACGAACCAGACGCACCAAACAAGACCCGGCTGTGAGCCTAATGCTCTCCTGTTTCCCTGCAGCTCTAAATATATAGCAGAGATTGCTAATCACATCCTGGCTGGTGAAGCGAGTTGCCCACTGCCCTCCTTGGCTGCAGATGTTTTCAATTGTCCTCAACGCATAGAGTTGAGTGATATCATCCTCTCCTTTCCGTAAAATTGATGACACCAATGAAATTAGTGGGCTTGAAACCTGCCAAAATAAATCAAATATATTTACCAAGGAAATATGAACATAGGAAAAGAGCATATGGAGAACAAATAAAACAAAACAATATATTATCTATACTACTATGTAAAGCACATAACTCACTTGGTATAAACAATTTGTCACACAATTTTAATTCCCAAAAAACCCCCACAATAATTCTTATTTCCCCAAATATTTATGTTGTCTAGCAGTTGCTACAAATACTGTTATCCACTACACAATATTCTTTCTCTCCACTCTCATCCACAATTTCCTGCACACATTAGTGTGCGTACAATTCTAGTCTTCATTTAATGGGAAGAAAATAAAAACCACTCTTTCAGAAGCTCAGACAGAAGATAAGAGGCGAACCTGCCAGCCTGAAGAAAACCGATTATCCTTAGACGGAGATTCAGGAGGATTGTTGTCCTTAGTATGCTCGTTTTGAGTAGATATATAAAATAGCAACTCACCTAAAGCAGCCATAGAAAACCTCCTCACTTTTTCTTGCTGGTCTCTGAGACCATCAGTCAGTGAACCTAAAATTCCAGAATTTGCCAAATCATCATCAATGAAAGTAGAATGTCGAATCAACAAACCGATCAGTGAAGCAAGTTGAACACGCAAAGCTGAAGCCTTAGACTGTCGTAGCATTTTGATAAGCACCAGCATTATTGACCCGTTGGTCAAGATATTGGCAGCATCAGCATTACTGCTTAGTGTCTCGAGGTATCTAATTATATTCTGCTTCTCACCAATAGCAGTGTTTCCATTTAAGATTGTTATGATTCTATTATTGAATGCGTCCAACTGATCCTTGGGCATCTTCACAAAATCTGATGCTGACAGTGCATCAAATGGAAGAGAAGGTATTGATACTTTGTCAGCCTTCTTGCTGGGCATCACTGGTCTAACTGAGAGATCAGATGGATGCCAAAGCAGCTGCGAGAGATCATTAGATGATTTTGAGGTATCTGAGTTGAGGGCACTTCCTGAACCTTCTTTAACCCTTTGAGTTTTGAGTAGAGGACTAACACTGGGTGGAGCAGCAGCCACTTCATTGTGTTCTGAAGATAAATCCAGGTCAGGTGTTCTTGAGTCATCTGAGATAGGAGTGTTAACCGTAGGGGATATATCCATGTCTATTTGTTCTATTTTTTCCTGATGCTGATTTGGATCTGTCATTTTTTCATCAGAGCAAGTCAGGTTATCAGACCCATCAGGATCATCATGTGTCTCATCTTCCATGTTCTCGTTAAAATCAAGTTCCATATCAGTGTTTTCAATTTTCACTTCTGCATCAATTTCAGACCCATTAGGCAACGGCCTCCGGAAGTTCTCCTTCTCATTTTCTCTCTGTAAGTTTGATTTTGCTATTCTTGAGAGCCTTAGAAGATTCACACCCCTAGTATTGCTTGAATGATCTTTCTGCTTCTCCTCAATTGCTTTGCCTGAAGCCTTTGTTTGAGTCCTTCGTCCACTGGATATACCCTTAACCGGTGTGTAATAACCTCTTGATCCCAAAATAGAATTCTCATCCTGTTTGGGACCCCCTTTGGAATCTTTTCCACGAGATTTTGGTGGGGTTTTGTTTTGGGGAGGATTGTCGCTATTGCGTTCTGAGAGATATGGTTTAGATAAAAGCTCTATCATATTAGTGAAAGCAGGCTGAGGAGGTAAAGGCAGTGGAGTAAATTTTGTTCTCCAAAAAGCATGTCCACAGAGCTCAACCCACTGTATTCTTTCAGACGGATCTTTCACCAGGAGGGAATTGATTAGATTGACAAAGGGACGGCTGGGAGTACCTGGAAGAGATGGAGTTGGGTCTGAAAGGATTGATTTTACTAACTGAGTAAATTCTTTTCCCATAAAGGGTGGATTCCCAACGTAGCACTCATATAGCACACAACCAAGAGCCCACAAATCAGAAGCATAAGAATGGACCCCTTCATCCTGAAACAACTCAGGAGCCATGTAAAAGGGAGTTCCACGTTTTGCTTGTGGCAACTGAAGAAGTGCACAAAGAGTAAAAATGAAAAAGTAGATAAATTTCCAGAAAAATTTAAAGAAAGGAAAGAATATTGCATAGTTGAAATCCTAATGAGTCACACTAACAAAATCAGTAGCATGCATGAAAAGTTGCAATTGTTAGAAAAACCTACCGAGGATGAAGGAGTTTTAGATATATCATTCAATTTTCTTGCCAATCCAAAATCACAAAGCTGCAATTCACAAGATACGGGAGAGATTATTAGCACATCTGGCAGAGTTACTAGCACATCTAGAAAATGTGGAACATAAATACCTTTGTACGACCATTTTCATCCAGTAAGATGTTTGATGGTTTCAGATCGCAGTAAATGATTCCTTTTGAGTGCAAAAACCTGGTAATAATGTCATTGCAGGCAGAGGCCATAGCTCAAAAGACAAAACTTAAATCAAATTCATCAAGGGAAAAAGATTATCGTACACTTGTAATATTCTCATTATTTAACCACGGGGTGGATATTTTGAAGGTAATATAAGTTTTTCTTACTGCAAAGCCCTGACAAGGTCACAAGCAAGATCATGTATTGAATCTTCTGGAAGCTGCTTATCCTGCAACTCAATCATTAAGTTAGTATTCCACTTGTCAAAATGCATATGCAATTTAGAGTTCATTGAATCCAGGGTGATGAAAAAGCACCATGATCTCAATTCTGTTCTACTTTATGACATAATTACTATAAAATTCTAAAATGGTGTTAAGGCTTATAGCATTATGCAGAGATATAGGAACCAACATCGCAGCATTAAATGAAAAAATGAAATACTTTTCCTATAACATGTTATTGGAGATTTATTTATCTGCAGTGCAGCCTCACACGAGGGAGAATCAGCATGAGAGATGTGGAGAGGTTATATGCCCTGCACAGTAAATCACGCTTGAATCTCCAAGTTCAAACAAAACTTGTAAGGTATCCACAAAATTATTTGAGCATTTTATTTAAGTTACCGCACGTCTTCCCATTTTTCCTCTTTAAAGCTCTAATGAGTATTGTCAAAAAATCTGCTGTGTCACAGAGACATGTGAAACTTAAGAACGAACATCGTAACTCATAATTGACAGATTATAATTGGAATTGATATAGCATGAACACTAAAAATAAACTATCCATTAGCATCTATGGGGGCCGAGAAGAGGGAGTCGTAGAGACTCCGGATGGTCGAATCTCGGAGAGTCGAGATTCGAGGCACTCCGCAATTGGCTCGCATGTTCAAATCCAACCCTATTCGGCCAAATAGCCGATTAGGCAAGGGGCCGAGTGAGGGTCGGTCTATTATAAGATGTGCCGAATATGAGTTGGGAATGGACCTAATCCCGAGGCCCATGGGAGAAAAGATATAAATATAAGAATATCAGCCAGAAAGAGGTATGCGAGAATTGTAGTGCTTAGCTTAGAATATAAGTATTCTTGAGTGCGGTTACTGACTTGTCCGTCGAAGTGCTAATTCCGGCACCCCCGCCGGAGTGTATATTCCTTTTCAGGTGACCGGAAGAGGATCTCGAGCATTTCCCAGGATCAGAAAAATATTTCTAAACCACTTCTCCACAGCATCATTGTGAAATATGATCCAATACAAGGACACTCGAGCTTTAGCCTCTTTTCCACATAACGAATCTGACTTATATGAGGTTGTGAAGCATGAGAAGTGGGTTCGAGTATGAGGCAGCCACAATGTGCACAGAATTTCAATGTCTATGTGCAGTTTATAATGTCAACAACACTGGGGGACCAGAATGTCACAATGAGTTTTTAGAGGTTTGGGTGTCAAATAGATCATATCCAGTGGAAAAAATCTAAGATTGTACAATATCAATAAAATCAACATTCCTGGATTAAAATGATTTGGAAAAATAAGAAATTGGTACCTGCTTTAATAATGACATGAGATCTCCTCCAACACAATATTCCAAAACCAACCACAAGTGAGCAGAAGTTTCGTACCTAAAATTTAGATTGACGGATGTGAGAGAGAGAGAGAGAGAGAGAGAGAGAGAGGATTTGGGTTAAATAAAATGCCAACTTCTAGACCTAAGCAATTGATGAAGGATTAAATGTTTCAGAATAGAGACCTTACCAGGAATAAAATTTTAGTACATTTGAGTGATCTAAGGAATGAATAATCCTAACCTGCAGTAACCAAAAAACATGTACCAATGCACAGATGAGATAAGCTACAAACACCCTATAGCTGCTTAAGTTTGTCATATAGATATAAGGATAAAAAATGGCCATTGTAATGCCACACCAGCAAATAATTTAACAAACCTGAAATCCATAGATGTCAAATGTGTGTTTTCTATTCCACCTACCTCCTTGCCCAGGGCTTCTCTTTTGAGAGGCACATTATTAAGTTTGTAAAATAGTTACAATTGACAGCGTTGATCAAATGAATTAAAAAAAAGATTATCGTACACTTGTAATATTCTCATTATTTAACCACCTTAGTTGAAATTCATGATGTAAGTTTCTCCAACCAAATGTATCAAATTTAATTCCACGTTGGAGATCCAAACCATTTGAAGCAAACCCAATGTAACAGCGCCAAAATCAAAAGAAATTCAGCCTTCATTCAAACCTACTAAATGGAAATCATGACTAAATCATATGGGAGAACATTGTATGGCTTGCACCTCTAAGTTTACATATCCAATTCAGTTTGGCAGTGAATTTATAGAGGTCAAAAGCTTTTTAGCCAGAATAAAAGAATGAGCAGCTTCAAATTATCCAAAATCACAGGGCAATTTCAAAAGGAATCATCAATTTCCCTTAAAAATTCAATTGCATGAAAATTCAAGCTGAGTATACCACAATTAAACCACAAACCCCTTCAAGAAACACAATTAAGTAATCTAATCAAGAGGATTGAGGCTTACTTCTTGAAGAACCTTGCTCTTCTGCGATTTATCTACGCTCTTAACCGCGAAATACTCTATAGTCTTCTTCTTCCTACCTTTGTATACATTCTACACATCCATATGAAAATAGTTAAACAATTGTATATACACACATTCATACCTAACCAAGCTAAATTGTGCACTTTTTAAACAACCAAGTTAATTTAAGTAAAAACAAGCTCGAATGAAATTGAGAATAAGAGAGTTACCGAGTATTTTCCGCGGCCAATGGCTTCGTAGATGTGATACTGGTTCATGTTTGATGGCTGAGAATTTCTAGGGTTTTGAGTCTGAAACAGAGACTGAGGAGAGAGAGAGAGAGAGAGAGACACTATGGTGTCGATTATGATTGGAACTGTTGATTGAGATGGCTTTGGGTAGTGAGAGAAGATTGTGAAAATGTAGAGAGAGAGCGGGACGATGAGCGTAATTGAAAATCAAACGTTGAAAGAAAAATAGAAAAACGCGAAAAGGATAGCGTCTGCTCCGTAGCCAAACAATGGGGATCGACGTAACGGTAACAATAATAGTACAGCTTGTTTGGTTTCACAAGTGAGGATTCACGTTTTTTAGAAAAAAATTTCATTTTTATTTTTTTATTTTTACTGAATTTTTTTATTATTTTAAATAATTTTTAAAATTTTTAGATACATTTAACATAAATACACTTAAAAAATATAATATTTATAATTTTTTTTTTACAAAATTCATTAAATATCAAAAATATTTTTAATACATTTTTCGTATTCTTGTGTATTTATTAATTTTTTTTACAAATATTTTATTTTTTAAATACATCTAAGTAAGATGTATCTAAAAAAATAAAAAAAAGTACTTAAAATTTTTAAAATATTCGCTAAAAATAAAAAATACAAAAAATAAAAAATTCAGTTTAAAAAAAATTGAATTTATAAAATTGAAACCAAACACATCATATTTTAGTGAATTTAAATACACTATAATTTTAGAAAAATAATTAGTCCACAAAATTTGAATTTGTTCAAATCGTTCAAGTTTGTCTGCGATCAACCATTCAGATGACCGATGCAATATAACCACAATTATCACCCTTGTCAACTGCGGTTATAACTCCTGTTGTCAGATGATCGGCTGGACGACTGGTCGGTCGACCAGGCGAACGACTGGCATGCACAAATTTAAACGATTCAGACAAATCAAAATTCGATAAATGTAGCATTACTCATAATTTTAATTCCTTCAATTTTTTGTTTTTGCTTTTTGGGAATTGAATTTTCACTCACTTTTTATTTAGCCTTCATTTGACTAACTTAGTTGTACTAAAAAAACACAAAAGGCAAATAGGCTAAATAAGTCAATATTACAATATCGCATTTAAATCGTAATCATTTTATTTTTTTCTCACAAAAATAAAAAAAAAAATCAAAAAAGTCAAACCAAATAAACATTTTAATCCCAAATAAAAAAAATATCGACTCAAAAAAACTAACTAAAAAGTCAATATCAAACAATGACTTATTAATGAATGCACTCCAAACTTCATCTTCAACTTTAAAATCACGCATTAAATTATTTAATCGAGGTGGTGAAAAGAATAGTCTTCTAATAGGTATATGAAAGGAATAGTCTTCTAATATTCTGTCAATCTAATGTAGGTTTAAATTAAAAATAAACTAGCAAAAAATGAGAAGGTTAGGGTTACAAAAAATGAGAAGGTTCAGGTTAGTCAAAATCTTCCATTGGACCCATGTTTGATGAAAATGACAGGTTAATTTATTTTTTTTCATAAATCTTTTAAAGAGAAAACACATAATTGAGTAAGGATAAAATAAAATATTTTTTTCTTTATTTCTTTGATAATATTGTCAGAGTAACATGTTACTATGAATCAGAATAATATGTTATTGGCAAATAGAGTAACATGTTACAGTTAAATAGAGTAATTGTCAAACAGAGTAATATGTTATTGTAACTGTTTATATCAATTTTAACGGTAATAATTTTTTTTTTAAAGAATTTCATAGTTAATATGGATCTTATTTGATAGATTTTAATGAAATAATTTTAAAAATATTAATTTTATTAAAAACTGACATTTACATCAAAAGTTATATTATTTTAAAGTTTAATATTTTGATAATAGTGATATTTGTTAGATTTAAAAAAAAAAAAAAAAACTTCTTGTGTTTGCCTTAATACATTAAATTTTTATTATGAGAGAATTTTGAACAAATTCCTTTACAAAAATCATATTGTTTAGTACATTTATGACATTTTAGCTTTTGTATGATTTTTTTAGTTGGTTGTTTGAGATCTCTCAAATATGTCACTTTTTAAAATATATAAAAGAAATAGTGACTTTTTTAAAAAACATATGTAAAAAAATTTACATTTTTCGGTCTATTATAAAGGAATCTAAAAAGTTTTTTTTAAAAAAAATTCATTAAAAAAATAAAAAGTCAAAATAATCCCAAAAAGTCCATTTGTTTTTGCATCTTTTTACCTTTTCTATACTCTTCTTTTTAAATAACAATTTTTCGGTTCATCTCGCTAAGTAAAATCTAGAAGCTTGAGGTTTTTAAAATTTTTTATGAAAAATTCACTAAAAAAAATAAGTCAACAAAAATGTCACAAAAAAATAATAAATCTCAAACCATGTGTGATCATTTTGCTAATTTTTTTTTTATTTAATGCAAAATAATCAAAACACCCTTTTAATGCAAAATTTTAATTATTTTAGCTTGTTTGGTTTGGATTTTCGTGAATCACTTTTCAGAATATTGAAATTTTTTATTTTTTGTATTTTTTTATTTTCACTGAATTTTTTTTAATATTCTAAACAATTTTTAAAATTTTTAGATACACCTACATAAATACACTTAAAAATATAATATTTGTGAAAAAAATCTTTAGAAAATTCACTAAATACCAAAAATATATCTATATAACAATGGAAGGGTTCTTTTGAAAATGTCTCTCAAATCAATGGTTCAGATCTATCTAATTTGAAAAGCAATGGCTCAAATTTATTTGTAAAAATATCTCTCTCACAAACTATCTTTAATGATCCAGATTTGTCTAATTTAAAAATAATGGCTGAGATTGCAAAGAGTTTCAGTGGTCTAGATTTATCAATGGCTAAAATTCAATGGTCCAGATTTGTTTACCTATCACCTCTCACCTCTTACCAATCCACTGCACTCCAGATTTGTATGTTACGCTTCACATATGGCTCTGAGAAAGCTTTGAAGAAGGAAGAAAGCTCTGAGAAGCCCAGGTAAGGAACTCTTATCTTCTTACTTTCATTTTTTTACCTCTGTTTTTTTTTCCCCAGTTCATAGCTCTGTTTTTCTTTTTTTTGTCATCATCCCGTCATGTTCTTAGGTATCAACATTAAAGCCAAAAGAGTGTTTGTTGCTCTTTCATGTTCTTGGGTATCTGCAGGTTCATGAAATCAATTACTGATGCTGATCTGAACAATTTGCTAGAGTGAAAAAAATGGGTTTATCAAGTAAATGTAGCAGCCACGGTCTAGGCTTCGCATAGCCGCATTTTTCAATTTAAACTTATGAATGCTTCCAACTTCAGTGTGAGGTCAATCAAAAGCAAGGTAACTAAAACTTATTCTGCGTTTTCAATTTGTGAATGCGTTTTTAATTTTCAATTTTTCAATTTAAACTTAAGAATGCTCCCCATGCATTTTTGCTGCTCTTTCATGTTGCTTATTGTAGCATTTGAGATGACTATGTTTTGCTCATATTATAACTATGTTTTTAAACTATGTTTTTCAATTTAAACTATGCTTTTAAATATTTTAATGGTGTTATACATACAAAAACCTTTGTAATCCCAAGATGCCATAATTCTCCTAAGTAACAAAAAGTAAATAACAGTAACTTACCTGAATTCATATGAAAATTTTTTAATGATCCAAACATTGATTGAACATAACCTTAATGTATTGCACAGCAAAAAAAAAAAAAGAAGATTAATGGAAAAAATGATTGAACATAACATTGATTGGAAAAAATGGAAGACTATTTATCAACAAAAAAAAAATGCTTTTGAGATGACTATGTTTTTTTCTTTCCGATGTACCCAAAAAAAAAAAGTTGACTATGTGTAGACCACCCGGAACTCCGCTCCGCGCGCGAGGGAGCGAATTGTAGTTCTTAGCTATTACAGTTCGGACTCATCTCACTGTTCTGAATCTAATCTCATAAAGTGCAATGTAAGACTGATAAATCACCAAAGAGTCCAAATTCGGCAAACCGTTTTGGAAAATCGATTTTAATAAAAAAGCGTCAAACATGGACTGCTTTGCCAGATTTCAGAGTCGCCACCTAAATATTTCATTTTGGAAAATTTAGGAAACCCTGGCTCGTGCCTAAGGTCACGTGTCTGTCATCACCAAAGTTGCCTCGGCTCGGAAACTTGGGTACAAGAGGGGAAGGTCATGCAATGAGCACCCCCGCTCGCCCGATCGAAGGATCGGCCTCTACTAACATGCTATGTTGTTTTTGAAAACACATGTGTTCTTATTCTGATTTATTAGACTAGCTTACTATGTGATGCGCACAGCATACAAGTATAGACTAAATCACTCAAGTTGGAATAAAACATCTCATGTTTGTTTGTTTGAAAATGGTTTGAAAGTGCTACTCGTAAGTAGGCTAAGTCGCGGATTTTGCCATCCTCAAGTGGGCTTAGAAAACATGGTGATTTGCCACTTTAAGTGGGCTTAAAACTCATATTTTGATGAATTGTTCCAATTCAAGCGATGACGCCTTCATCCACAGGCATTCATGCAGTTAATCACTTATGCAGTTAGCCTCATGGCAAGCATGTTATCATGGTAGTCACTTACACACATGCAAGTATGCTAACGCGTAAACACTCACAATGTACTTCGAGCCAAAAAAGAAGCTAGTTAGTAATCATGCATGATCCTAGCTATGTCAACAATGCCTAATGCAACACATGCAAAAATGCAACTAAAATAGGCTTGGCTATCTAGAATG